TGATCTAAACTTGGAATAAGATCAGGTTTGGAAGCATTATGAACTGTATTGCAAACAATGTATTCATCTTCGCCGACATCATCTTCAACTTCCTCTTCCTCGCAGAGACCAGGTGAACTCAACGCTCGGCTGATCGAGGCTCGTTTGAAAGACCGGCGATTATTCGGAGATGAAAGAGTTCGAGATGAAAAATCATTCGCCAACCGGTTGGCTGACCCTGCAGCTGCAGATGTTAAATTACTCCAACTGCTCAAACGTGCTCCGCTCTGGAATCTTGCAAATGTTTTATTGCTAGATAGGAAAGATCTTGACGAACTGAAATGACTGGCTTGCTTCAAAATACTGGCCGTTAAGCCGGATTTGTCTCCCGTCAAATCGAGAGGCGAGTCACCTGTGACGTTCCTCGTCTCATCTCCGAAGGAAGCGCCGGCCGATAACAAAATTTGAACGCCTTTCTCAAAATTATTTTTAGTGGCAAAATGAAGGGCTGTGTTGCCATTGTTATCTGCCAAATCCGGATCTGCTCCCAGTTCCAATAAAAACCGACAAGTTTCGGCTTGGCGTTCCTTAATTTCTGAAGAATCGAAATCGTGTGGGTTGGATGTTTGGAGGAAGCAGCGATGCAGTGCCGACCTACCGGAAGAATCGCGAATGTCGATGTCGCCATTGTAGTCCTCGATGAGGCAACGAATGACCTTCAGGTGACCTCGCTCTGCCGCTAAGTGAATGCACGATTGGTCCACATCTCCGTAGCACATAACCTGCGTGGGTATATTTGGCATCTCATTTTTAAAAGTATTAAAGGAAATTTTTCAAATTTCAGCCAGTAATCAAAATTTCAATTCGTACAAACTTTCAAGTCTGGATGGATTTCCATCAACCCACAAAAAGCGTCCACCAGATGATCATGACCCTCCCTGGCCGCCATGTGCAGTGCTGTCGCTCCGAAGTGGCCTCGCCTGTACACGTCCGAGCCAGACCTGACTAACAAACTGACCAGCTGTGAGTGACCGTGCAGAGTGGAGATGTGCAGTGGCGTGTTGCCGGCAGCGTCCGAATAGTTTGATAGTGCTCCCTTCGATATCAACAGTTTGGCCATCGTGTAATCAGATCTGTGTGCGTTTCGTTCGCGTCATTAATGTTTACATGTAATCACGTAAGATGAACGTTTACACGTAAGCAGGTATGAAGAAAGTGAAATGTTCTCAAAGAAATAAACAGTATATATGAAATATATCTATCAAATATCTCAAATAATTATTGAGTGAAAATGATTAAACGTTTCCATCGGACCTCCTGACTGCATGATGTAGCGGCGTCCTCAACTTATGATCGCTTCGATTCACATCACATCCAACGGTCAGCAGGTAGCCGACCGCATCGTAGCACCCGGCCCTCACTGAAGTTATCAGACATGTTTTGATCTTCTGCTTCTTAGGACAACCGGAAGTAAACAAACGATTGAAGTCTGCTCCGTGCGACGTGATGAAATAATCCAAGATGGCGACATCTTGGAGTGCGCATGCCTGCAGCATCGGGACTTCCGTTTCCGTCTCAAACAGGAGTCTGGGAACTCGTGACCACAAGAAGTTTTTGAGGTTGGATCGGTTTCTAAAAGTTTATTTTTGATTCATTGTGTTAAATTATTAACGGTGACTATGTTAATTTTTGTGTGGGTTCCTTTAAAAAAATAATTTCGTCAACAAACATGACAAAATACCACCACAAGAAACAACAATATTTTTATGTAAACTAACTTACTCAATCCTACACACACACACACACACACACACACACACACACACACACACACAAACAAACAAACACACACAAACACACACACACACAGAGCATATACAGGTAAACACTTGTACATACAATACACACATCACAACAAACGCATTCATTCGATTTAACACACACGCACATTAAACACACATGTATTCACAAATAACACGTACATGTGCATGTGCATACAACGTGTACACGAACGCACACACAACATACTCACTTGAAGTGTTTGTCCAAAATGCTGCTAACTGTCTTTAGGTCATTTTTCTCAATGGCTTCAACTAGGAATGGACCATGCGTTTTTCTGCCCATTTTAACTGGTAATTAAAAAAACGAAATTAACATTTCAAACTGCAACACAGACACAACAAAAACACAACTGCAACACAAAAAATAATCAGCAACAAATGTTGCAACAACAAAACAACAACATCATCAAAACATCAACTAAAAAGCAAACAACAACCACATCAACATCAACAACATCAACCAGACAACAACCACATCAACATTAACAACAACAACAACAATAGCAAAATTTAAAATTTAATCATATCACTCACCTCAATGATTCTCGTTCCAACCAAACCAATCGCATAAATCACTTTAAAAAAATATAAAAACTAATCTATCATCAGCTGATCGGAGACTCGCGAAACTCATTCACCCGATATCCACACGCTAAAAATAAAATAAAATTTATTAAAACATTCCCCGCTATATAAAATTACAAATACAAATACACAGACTCGACAAAATAATTGCAAACGAAAAACAAACCTGCCAAACTAAATTAACAATCAACAACCCTTTTTAAAATCTTAGTTCGATTCATCTTCTCAGCTCTATTGCTGGTTCAACGGACCGTCACAACATTTTGATACGCATACAGTATTTATACATACATACATACTTATATGTATTTGTATATACCAATATACAATTTTATGTATATATATATACATATATGAACATGTATGTATATCTTTGTATATATACAATTTGCATATATATATATATATGTGTGTATATATATATCTATATAACTATATATAACTGTTTACCTGTTGTTACCTGTGTTAGCTATAGAGCGTAACGATGAAAAATGAATTTAAATGAAAGAACGTTTAAAAGTTGGACGCCAAATAAATGGTCTTTGATAAGATTTATTCATATACACATATATAGAATATACATATTATATTATTGTTATATATTGTTATTATATATAATGTTATATGTTATACTATAGGTTATATTATATGTTATAGTCTATATATATTTTCACATATATTCACACAAACTGGAAACAACCACATATATGTATTTATATATACTCGAAGATTTGTAAATCTAGCTAGATATAAACCGAGTGAACGAACGAACGAACTAGTGTTATACGAACGAATGAACGAATAAATAAGTGAACAAATTAACGAACGGACGAACGATTGAGTGAACGAATGAATGACGACGACGATGATGACGATTAAAGAAATGATGATTAAAGGAATGATGATGAAAATGATTATAATGAATAAATAATCCTAATTGTTGACCTTACTAACAACTGATTAACAAATATATTTAAATTTATTTTGTTTCAAATCCAAATTTTCAAAGTTGAAAAATATTCGAGTGAGAGGACAAACGGAAACAAAAAAAAAAACTTTTTAAAGGTAAGGTTTATATGTTTATATATATATATATATATATATATATATATATATATAAACATAAATCATAAATGTTGGTAAAAGACCATAATTAATTCAGTAATTTATGAAATCTAGCGAATTTCTAGCATTGGATAGTTTTCTTTATTATATTTCTCAACATTTCTCGACAAATTCTTGTCGTAATTATTTATTTTATTAACATTTGAATAATATACAGTTTTCCAAGTTATTCTCGAGTGTTTAGGACCTATTCTTCTTGCCTCGGGAGTACCGATGAAATCTTTTCAGTGGTGTGTAGTTATTAACATGCTAGTAGTTAAGCTGTAGTTAATAACTATTTTTTTCAAAGTAGTTATTAACTAGTAGTTAACTATTTTTTTAGTAGTTAATAACTACAGTAGTTAACTATTTTACATAACTACTTATAATAATAAGCTAATATTTGATCGCCCCTATTTGTGTGCATGCATTGTTGTGTTACTGTTGAAAACAGACATGGTCATCTAATATGCATTTGCTATGCATGACTAATCATATCACATACTGGATAACAAATGGTTGTATACAACAATGAGCAAAACATATATAAAACATATATACAATATATGATATATATTTATATATATAACATATTGTATATGGACACATATAATAGACATTTTACATAATATACATACATATTATATACACCTATTGCATTATGTAGTTGTCTGTGGGGCATACAAGGTTAAGACAACTTAATCATGGATGTCCATGACCTAATGCATCATTAATTCATCATATTAATCCCATTAAAAATAAATTCGACATTACTAAGCTCAGCTGCTGTTGAAAGGCTATTCAGTGTTGCCGGACAAATTTTTACTAATAAACGCTGCAAGTTGTCTGATGAACACGTAGACAAAATGATTTTTTCGAGAGATTATCTCAGAAAGTCATTAATTTGACATATAATTTTTATGAATAAAACCTTTCAAATAAAAGTTAGTTTGTCTTTAAATTTATCAGTTAACTACTGCAAAAATTAGTAATTTGGTATCGAAAGGTTGTAAACACCAGTTTCTTTTTAAATGGCAATGTTTGGAAAGTAGTTAACTACTAGTTAACTACTTTCCAAAGGTGGTAGTTAAAGAGTAGTTACTAACTACTGTTGTGCAAAGTAGTTGAAAAGTAGTTACTAACTAGATTTTTTCAAAGTAGTTAACTATAGTAGTTAACTACATTTTTTAAGTAGTTAGCACAACCCTGAATCTTTTGTAGTTCTTTTGTGGTTTTTTTTATCAGGGATTGTTTTACGTCGGCGAGAATGGCTGCGGCTAATTTCAGATAAGAATGGCTAGAATTATAGTATATTATTTTGGTGTTGTTGGCCGAGATTTCTCTTGTAATTTCAAGATTGTGTGTGTTTTTATAGAACCTTTTTCCTTCTTTGCATGGCTAGACGTCTAGTTAGAGATGCTGCAGTTACTCCGATGTATGAAACATTCTTATATTTTTTTTTATTATATTATATTAATTTATATTTATATTTTTTGTTATATATATATTTGTATGATTAATTAAATGATTAAATGCATGTTAATGTAAAAATGCTTATAATATCTTTTTAATATTCTAAAATATTAATATATGTTCTATAAGTGTGCGTATGCCTGGGTGTTTGTGTGTGTCTGTCTGTTTGTTTGTGTGTGTGTGTAGGTGTGTGTGTGTGTGTGTGTGTGTGTGTGTGTGTGGTGTGTAGGTGTGTGTGTTCATTCGTTCGTTCATCACGAGATAATCATCCTTTTCCTGGTCGTCATCAGTTGATGTGTTGCTGCTGCTGCTGCAGGCTATCTAACTTGCGAACCAAGTTTTTTCTATGCCTTTTAAATAGGACGATGAAGATGATGATGAAGATGTTTTTATTGTTTTATGGTTGTTCATGATATTAACATTGTTAAGAGTTTATTGAAAATAGTTAAGATTTTCGCTGGGCAAACACATACACAGAAGCTACTCACACACTCTAACACACTCACACACACAAACAACCCCCCTTATAAGCTAACACACACACACACACACACACACACACACACACACACACACACACACACACATAAACAAACACACGGAGAAAGAGAGAGAGAAGAGAGAGAGAACAAAAAGAGAGAGAGAGAGAGAGAAACATATACGTTCCCATAAACACACAAACAAACAAACACAAACGAACAAACAAACACAAACGAACAAACACAAACAAACCCAGAACTAAAATTAAAGGTAAAAGCAGATTGCTGAACGTCTGCCATGTTCTTCAAGTGGTTCAACTCCAGCACCAAACTCTTACGCTCTTCATTTGATTTGTGGTAGGCCTGGTGATGATGATGATGATGATGATTGTGGAATTGGTGATGATGACGATGATTGTGGTGGTGGTGGTGATAATGATCGTGATATTGATGATGGTAGTGATAGTGGTTTAAAAAGTTCGGTTAAAATAAAGTGTGGAATTAATTTATATTTAAGCGGTTCTGTGCCTAATTTGAAATGTGTTTGCGGTAATAGTGATGATTTTAACACAAGTAATAAAATAAAGTTATTATTAATATTGTTATAATTATTAACAAATCAATCAATCAACACACCAACCAACCAACCAACCAACCAGCCAACCAACAAACCAACCAAACAATCAATCAATCAATCAATCAACCTTTGACTCCTCCTCCAATCTCATCTCGAGATTTTTCAACTGCTCCTCTGTCACCTGACGACTTTTTTGTAAACTTTTTAGAAAATCAGGAGTTATCTGATTGAGTGAGTGAATTCATTCATTAATTCGTTCATTCATTCATTTATCCATCCATTCATTTATTTATTCATCCATTCATTCATTCATTCATTCATTCATTCATTCATTCATTCATTCATTCATTCATTCATTCATTCATTCATTCATTCATTCATTCATTCATCCATTTACATTTTCTTTCTGGTTGGCAGTTCTAGGTTGCTTCACTGGAAGGTGATTGGAATGATGATGACGACGACGATGATGATTTTATTGATGATGAAACGATAAAAACAGCATTGGATAAAAATAGCATGAGTATAGTGAATCAACAACATTAGTTATCACTATTATTATTATTATTTTAATTATAACTATAATTATTATAAAATTATAATTAAATTATGCAGACGGACATTCCCTGATGGTCAGCTTGGCCTGTTCGATGTTCTCTGAGAGGAGTGAGGCCCTCTGTTGAAGGTACTGGCTCAATTCCAACTGCGTCTCGAATCTCGTTCTCCACTCGTTGCCTTCATGAGTAAGTGAGTGAATGAGTGAGGGAGTGAAGGAGTGAATTAATGAGTGAGTGAAGAATTCAATGGATAAATGAATGAATGACGGAATCAATATATGAATGAATGGACAAAGTTAATGAATGATGCCTTTAAAGTTTCGTTTTTAATTTGCTACATATATCAGCGCGTGAACGAATGAACGAACGAATGAATGAATGAATAACATAAAAGAATGAATGAATGAATGAATGAATGAACGAACGAATGAGCGATTAGTTAATGCTACGATGAATTTGTCTGCCTTTATGTTTGTTTAGACTTAGCATTTATGCAATTTAACGAGTAAATTAGACAAAAAACTATGGAAAGCTAACTATCGCAATCGTAATCGTCCATCCTCTTATCGAGGTCCTCCACTGATAACTTCAACTCCTCCAACGAATTTTCAAGTGAAGCGCTACGTAAGTTAATTTGTTTGCATTACATTGCTTACGTCATTTCATGTTTTTGTTTATCGGTTTCGGTTATTATGTTGTTTTTGTTTACGTGGTTGTTGTTGTTTTAATTATGTTGTTTTATGTTTATGTTGTCTTTGTTTACGTTTGTTCTTTTTTTATGTTCTATGTTTATGTTGTCTTTGTTTATGTTTGTTCTTTGTTTATATTGTTCTATGTTTATGTTTGTTTTTGCCTATGTTTGCTCTTTGTTTACGTTGTTCTTTGTTTATATTGTTGCTTATATGTATTGTACTGATGTTGCAGTTTAATCTTTTAAACATTTCTACGATGCTAACAAATTAGTTGTTGTTCCAATAATGGACAAAAACACTACACCGACATGACATGTTATAACAAATTAACCACAATTTTAAACATTAAAAGTTTAAACCACCAATGGCATCTTACTTACTTAACTATTCAACTTCCCAACGATCCCACATTCGCATTTAATAGTATCTAATTACAATAAATGCTATTTCATTTTATTTAATATTATTTAATTAATTACAATAAATAAATATTTAATTTTATTTAATTTGTTTTAATAGGTTAAATTTTATTCAAAATTAAAAATTTAAACCTCACTTCAACTCCCTGTCCAATTCATACTGTGCTTGCAGTCCGGCCAAAGACATTTGCGAACATTCCATTGGCAAATAAATGATTATTAATTAACTCAATTAATTAAACTAACTAAACCTTTCAACGGATTCTTTAGCAAAACAGATTAAATAAATAAGTATAAAAAAATTGCTATTTTTATTTATCCTTCGTTCCCATGGGGACAGTATAAAAATGAACTTAAATGCCGTTCCCACTCTCTCCTTCTCACACTCTCTCTTAATAAATATATATACATATATACATATTTATATTATATATTGAAAAAATGTAAGTATGGGTGAAAATAGTTGATCTGTCATCAGATACATCGATATATCAGATACATCGATTTATCAGAAACATCGATATATCAGATACATCGATATATATATATACACATATATAGCCAATTTCATATAGTGTGTTAATGATGTACATACTTTTTGTTTACACACATAGATACAAGTGTATATATATACATATATATAAAGAGAGAGAGAGAGAGAGAGGAGAGAATGTATATAATGCCCCTTGTATTTATACAGAGATCAATTACATTAACATATATCGATCAACTATGCATGCTTGAAAAGAAATTCTTATAAGAGAAGAAGAGTGGATGAATTAAAGAATAAAAGGAATGAGAGAGAGAGAGAGAGAGAAAGAGAGAGAGAATAATGTACGAAGAAACGAATGAAAACGACGATGAAAAGAATGAAAGAAAGGAGGATAAGCAAAAAAATTATGGATACCTGCTGATAGTTTTATGTACTTTCAGTAAAAACTATTTGATCATTTTTCAAAAATGTCGCTGACACACATACACCCACACACGCGAACACACACACATACACGCGAACAAACACACACACCCTCTTAACCAAAAATCTCTTTTAATCATCACTTTCATCCACTTAACATTCCCAACAGAACAAAAAATACTAAAATTTGAACTGAAACAAAAAGCCAACTCGGATAGATAGTTAATTCAGATAGCGTCTTCGAAACTACTCATCCAGCGCTATAAAAATAAATGTCATTTTCAAGTAAATAAGTTTCAAGCAGTTCAGAAATCTATATCGCGAAGTTCTGACAGTATTTGCTCGTTTGAAAGTCCCGCCTTTTCTACATTTTTCTTTTTTTTCATGATCTTTTTAGCGCGGAGTTGTTTCTCCCTCAGGCTCTGCTCCCACCTCTTTCTGTGGAGTGTGTACAACCTCATGGTGGCCTGTGCATCCTGGATCTTGCGAGTGGAATGCATGCATG